AACTTGGGAAATTCCCACTCCTAATTTCAATAAAAAAGAATATAATCAACTACATTAAATACATCCTCAAACTACCTGACACTTCAATTGTAAAACAGGCTCTATACCTATCTAAAGGATTGCATAAAAATAACAAAGAATCGAATTATGGAAATGCTATGTGCATGTTAAAGTCATTCTACTCCGATGAATCAAATGATGTACAAACAGCTTTAATAAACTACGATGCAACAACAGTAGTAAACAAAATCAAAGAAAAATATGTTGAGTTCTGGAGACATAAAACAACCAATTCCAGCAAATTATCTTTTCTATGCACATTCAAAAAGGATTATACAAAATGGAACCATACTTGTATCTAATAAAAAATCCAACAATAAGAAGAACATTTACCCAATTTAGAATAAGGCCCGTTTTATACGCCGAATTTCGGTCGCGTCGAATGCAATTCAAACAATAGATAATGAAGCTTAATGAGGTTTATCATCTCATTATCTATTGTCTTAATTGCATTCGACTCGACCAAAATTCGACGTATAAAACGGGCCTAAGCAATCACAAACTTCAAATCGAACGCGGACGATACGAAAACATTCCCCGTGAACGGCGTATTTGCAAACTTTGCAACTCTAACACGGAAATAGAAAATGAATTTCATCTTGTTTTCACTTGCGAAAAATATGATAACATAAGAAATAGTTCAAATAACATACTAAAAAACCTGTTTAATTTGAATACCACAACAGAAAGTAAACAAAAGTTACTGGAACACGTAATGTCATCCGACGATTCAGTTCTTGTAAATTTATTATCCAAATTTATTTCTCTTTGCTCTATTCAAAGGGAAATTAGCCTCAAATCCATGGAACTCCACTGAAATAAGTAAAAAACAAAACAAATTTTCGGCAGCAAATTTCAAATTAATTAAATAATTCTAGAATGCATGCTGCAAAATACTTTTATACTTATTTTATTATAACTTTGTAAAGTAGTTCAACTTATACAAATAACTACATTATATATTACTACATTAGCAATAAATACATATACGTTAATCTTAGCTCCTATACTTATTACTATTCTAGCAATACCTGTAAATACGTCATGCTTTTGAATTAATAATAATAATAATAGCCTTAACTTTTCGTCCATTTTTTGCCACTTTTTCAAAAATGAAATAAGTGGCAAAAATTGAGCAACGAGTAAGGCTATAGCCTTAACTTTTCGTCCATTTTTTGCCACTTTTTCAAAAATGAAATAAGTGGCAAAAACTGAGCAAAAAGTAAGGCTATAGCCTTAACTTTTCTTCCATTTTTTGCCACTTTTTCAACAATGAAATAAGTGGCAAAAAATGAGCAAAAAGTAAGGCTATTGCCTTAACTTTTCGTCCATTTTTTGCGACTTTTTCAAAAATGAAATAAGTGGCAAAAAATGAGCAAAAAGTAAGGCTATTGCCTTAACTTTTCGTCCTTTTTTTGCGACTTTTTCAAAAATGAAATAAGTGGCAAAAAATGAGCAAAAAGTAAGGCTATAGCCTTAACTTTTCGTCCATTTTTTGCCACTTTTTCAAAAATGAAATAAGTGGCAAAAATTGAGCAAAGAGTAAGGCTATAGCCTTAACTTTTCGTCCATTTTTTGCCACTTTTTCAAAAATGAAATAAGTGGCAAAAAATGAGCAAAAAGTAAGGCTATAGCCTTAACTTTTCGTCCATTTTTTGCCCGACTTTTTCAAAAATGAAATAAGTGGCAAAAATTGAGCAATGAGTAAGGCTATAGCCTTAACTTTTCGTCCATATTTTGCCACTTTTTCAAAAGTGAAATAAGTGGGAAAAAATGAGCAAAAAGTAAGGCTATAGCCTTAACTTTTCGTCCATTTTTTGCCACTTTTTCAAAAATGAAATAAGTGGCAAAAAATGAGCAAAAAGTAAGGCTATAGCCTTAACTTTTCGTCCATTTTTGCTACTTTTCCAAAAATGAGATAAATGGCAAAAAATGAGCAAAGAGTAAGGCTATAGCCTTAACTTTTCGTCCATTTTTGGCCAATTTTTCAAAAATGAAATAAGTGGCAAAAAATGAGCAAAAAGTAAGGCTATAGCCTTAACTTTTCGTCCATTTTTTGCCACTTTTTCAACAATGAAATAAGTGGCAAAAAATGAGCAAAAAGTAAGGCTATATCCTTAACTTTTTGTCCATTTTTTGCCACTTTTTCAAAAATGAAATAAGTGGCAAAAAATGAGCAAATAGTACGGCTACAGCTGAAAAAAGTGGCCAAAAATGGATGAAAAGTTAAGACTTTTTATCCATTTTTGGCCACTTTTTTCGGCTTTGAAAAAGTGGCCAAAAATGGCGAAAAAGTAAGGCTATAGCCTTAATTTTAGCGTCCGAGAGGAGAAAGGGTTAATAAAAAGAATGGAATAAAAAAGAAGTTAAAGCAAGTGCAGGTGAGACGGTCTAGTGGTAAGGATAAAGTGTTGCAAGTGGCTGATGCCAGATTCGAGTCGCGGTTGTCCCATGAGCATTTTAGCGTCGGGTGTCGTTGTTAATTAATTCCACGCGAGAGGAGAAAGGGTTAAGTGGAATAAAAAAGAAGTTAAAGCAAGTGCAGGCGAGACGGTGTAGTGGTAAGGACCAAAGTGTTGCAAGTGGCTGGTGCCAGGTTCGAGTCGCTGTTGTGCCAAGTGAATTTTAGCATTGGGCGTCGTTGTTAATTAATTCCACCCGAGAGGAGAAAGGGTTAAGTGGAATAAGAAAGAAGTTAAAGCAACTGCAGGCGAGACGGTCTAGTGGTAAGGACCAAAGTGTTGCAAGTGGTTGGTGCCAGGTTCGAGTCGCGGTTGTGCCAAGAGTAATTTAGCGTTGGGCGTCGTTGTTAATTAATTCCAACCGGGAGGAGAAAGGGTTAAGTGGAATAAGAAAGAAGTTAAAGCAAGTGCAGGCGAGACGGTGTAGTGGTTAGGACCAAAGTGTTGCAAGTGGCTGGTGCCAGGTTCGAGTCGCTGTTGTGCCAAGAGCTACAAGTTTATTTTTCGAACGAAATAAAGATGAAAAATCGATGTCTTCGGTCACTGTGCGCTGGACACAGTAGTCCAAGACAGGGCACAGTAACCCAAGACGTTTATTTTTCTATTTTTCCCTTGGTCGTTTCGTCCCCACGTCCTCAAAGAGAACCACGTCCTCAATGGAAAAAATAAAAGTCTTGGGTTACCTGTAAGGTAGACACAGGTAGCCCAAGACAGGGCACAGGTAACCCAAGACGTTTATTTTTCTATTTTTCCCTTTGGTCGTTTCGTCACCACGTCCTCAAAGAGAACCACGTCCTCAATGGAAAAAATAAAAGTCTTGGGTTACCTGTAAGGTGGACACAGTAGTCCAAGACAGGGCACAGGTAACCCAAGACGTTTATTTTTCTATTTCTCCCCTTGGTCGTTTCGTCACCACGTCCTCAAAGAGAACCACGTCCTCAATGGAAAAAATAAAAGTCTTGAGTTACCTGTAAGGTGGACACAGTAGCCCAAGACAGGGCACAGGAACCCAAGACGTTTATTTTTCTATTTTTCCCTTTGGTCGTTTCGTCACCACGTCCTCAAAGAGAACCACGTCCTCAATGGAAAAAATAAAAGTCTTGGGTTACCTGTAAGGTGGACACAGTAGTCCAAGACAGGGCACAGGTAACCCAAGACGTTTATTTTTCTATTTCTCCCCTTGGTCGTTTCGTCACCACGTCCTCAAAGAGAACCACGTCCTCAATGGAAAAAATAAAAGTCTTGAGTTACCTGTAAGGTGGACACAGTAGCCCAAGACAGGGCACAGGAACCCAAGACGTTTATTTTTCTATTTTTCCCTTTGGTCGTTTCGTCACCACGTCCTCAAAGAGAACCACGTCCTCAATGGAAAAAATAAAAGTCTTGGGTTACCTGTAAGGTGGACACAGTAGTCCAAGACAGGGCACAGGTAACCCAAGACGTTTATTTTTCTATTTCTCCCCTTGGTCGTTTCGTCACCACGTCCTCAAAGAGAACCACGTCCTCAATGGAAAAAATAAAAGTCTTGAGTTACCTGTAAGGTGGACACAGTAGCCCAAGACAGGGCACAGGAACCCAAGACGTTTATTTTTCTATTTTTCCCTTTGGTCGTTTCGTCACCACGTCCTCAAAGAGAACCACGTCCTCAATGGAAAAAATAAAAGTCTTGGGTTACCTGTAGGGTGGACACAGCAGCCCAAGATGGGACACAGTAACCCAAGACAAGGGATTTTCTATTTTTAAAAATGTATGGGTGAGGAGGTATTGTTGTTTATAGTAATAGGTGTATATAGTATAATAAGAGGAGTATTGTGATTATGCTCTCATAAATGGGCAAAAAAACAGCAAAAAATTAAGGCTATAGCCTTAACTTTTCGTCCATTTTTAGCCGATTTTTCAATTTTGAAAATGAGGCGAAAATCAGGGAAAAGTAAGGCTATATCCTTTACTTTTCGTCCATTTTTAGCCGATTTTTCTCATTTTTCATAAATGGGCAAAAAAACAGCAAAAAAGTAAGGCTATATCCTTTACTTTTCGTCCATTTTTACACAGCTGGAAAAACTTGCTTTTTATATCCACGGACTCTCTAGTTATGCAAGAGTGACGCATGGACAGAAAGCCTATTGACCGTAGATTCCAAAAATACAATTTTCAGACCGTGCCAAATTCTAGTTTTTGCGACAAGGGGCCTTGAAATTCAATAAAACCTAAGATTCGAAAGAGCATAATATCAACTTTCGCGTCGTTTTAATTCGATTACACAGCTGGAAAAACATGCTTTTTTTGTCCACGGACTCTCTAGTTATGCAAGAATGACGCATCGACAGAAAGCCTATTGACCGTAGATTCCAAAAATACAATTTTCAGACCGTGCCAAATTCTAGTTTTTGCGACAAGGGGCCTTGAAATTCAATAAAACCTAAGATTCGAAAGAGCATAACATTAACCTTCACGTCTTCGATTACACAGCTGGAAAAACTTGCTTTTTATGTCCACGGATTGTCTAGTGATGCAAGAATGAGGCATCGACAGAAAGCTTATTGTAGATTCCAAAAATGCAATTTTCAGGCCAGCCCAAATTCGAGTCTGCTTCGAGGCTCGTGCTCATGAGACCCCAAAATACGGGATTATCACAAGCACGCTAAAACAAGGATACACGGGCGCGATTGTATTCTTGGAATCTACGACTACGGTCAATAGGCTTTCTATCGATGCCTCATTCTTGCATAGCTAGACAGTCCGTGGACATAAAAAGCAGGTTTTTCCAGCTGTGTAGTCGAAAAAGACGTGAAAGTTAATATTATGCTCTTTCGAATCTTAGGTTATATTGAATTTTAAGGCCCCTTGCGGCAAAAACTAGAATTTGTCACGGTCTGAAAATTGTATTTTTGGAATCTACGGTCAATAGGCTTTCTGTCGATTCCTCATTCTTGCATAACTAGATAGTCCGTGGACATAAAAAGCAACTTTTTCAAGCTGTGTAATCGAAAAAGATGTGAAAGTTAATATTATACTGTCCTCTTTCGAATCATATTACTTAACGTTTTCTCGTCTCGGCAGGAATTAATTAAGGACGACGCCTGACATTAAAATACTTTTGACACAACCAGGAATCGAACCTGGCTTCCGGCACTTGCAACAACTTTGTCCTTACCACTAGACCATCTCGCCTACACTTACTTTAAATCTTTTTTTGTCGTACTTAATTCATTCTCGTCTCGGGGGGGAATTAATTAACAACGACGCCTGGCATTAAAATACTTTTGGTACGGTCGGGAATCGAACCTGGCTTCACGCACTTGTAACGCTTTGTCCTTAACCACTAGACCATCTCGTCTACACTTGCTTTAATACTTTTTTATTGTACTTAACTCGTGCTCATCTCGGGTGGAATTAATTAACAACGGCGCCTGACATTAAAATGGTTTTGACATAACCAGGAATTGAACCTGGCTTCAGGCACTTTGTCCTTAACACCAGACCATCTCGCCTACACTTGGTTTAACACTTTTTTAATTCTACTTAAGCTCATTCTCGTCTCGGATGAAATTAGTAAAAAACGATGCCTGACATCAAAAAGGTTTCGACTAGAGCTGGGACCGAACCCTAGTACTCCCTCATCTGACACCAGGAGACTACCACTCGACTAGTAGATCTATACATTCGTGAAGACCATACTAATTTCTACATAATCTCTCATCACGAAATTTCATTTAAAAAAATTAAGTCGCCAAAAATTAAAGGCCAGAGCTTTTACTTTCCATTTTTCGTCACATTTTGAAAAAATGAAGTGTCAAAAACGAAGTATTAAGCGTTTATCCCCACTTTACCTCTTTGCCGATTTTTCAGAAATCATATTAGTAGTAGCCTTCACTTTTGGGGGATTATTGGCTTTTAAGGAACGGGCAATAATGGGCTAATAGTATGTACCACATACTTTCTCACCCGCTCACAACAATCCTTACTGCAATTAAAATCATCTGACATAAAATAATCTGGCGTTACACAGAATAAAATAATAGGGGGCATCAATCAGGGCGCATTGCTGCTTAAAAGGATCAAGAGAGCCTCAGAATCCAATGACCGATTTTCTCACTTTTTTATTTAAATTATGGTGAATATTTATTATCAATACAGAAAGAAAGTTATAGTTTGTACAGTATAATA